GATCCTTATTAACAGTTAACTTTTTTCATATATATACCGACGGCTCCAAAACAGAGAGGGTTGGTGCGGGTGTAGTCGACTGAATGTGAAACTAAGTTCAGACTGCCGAATCGGTGCAATTTCGATTTTATTGCCGAACTTTTTGTTGATGCATTGACAAACTATTGATTTTGCTCTATCCGCCGACCCACGATAGAATAGTTTTTTTTCCTGATTCATTACGTTCACTTAAAGCTATTAAATCCTTAGAAACCACTAAAACTGAATTGCTGGGTAATATCCTTCGTAAGTTACATGGTGCCAACAAATCAATCAGCTCATATGGGGGTTGCCGTCACTCTAGGTATCCATAGGCAATGAACAGGCAGACAAACTAGCCGGGTCAACTGGCGATCTGGACACTCCCATAGTTCGTACAGATCTCAGGGGTGTTTTTGTGTCTCTTATAAAACAAAAATACATCTCCTGTGGCAAAGTGCGTGGACCAACCTCCAAACACAACAAAATGCAAGCCGAAAACCACCATTGAACTGTGGATACCATCCTACAGGAAGGAAAGGAAGGGGATGATGTGGTGTTTGGCCCGCCTTAGTGTCAACGCCTCAGATATACCCACCTCAACTCCTTACATTGAAAAAAAATACCCCCCAACGATGCCACCTCTGCAACACCACCAAAACAATAAACCACATAATAATAGCTATGGCCCAAAATATGCATACCAAAGACCACCACTAAAAATGATTTCAGAATTAAAAATAAAGAATTTTCATTATCCAACATATCTATCCGATGATGAAAATCATACGTCAGAATCATTTTTTAAGAGAACAAAACTTTTACCTATTAGATTGATAGAATAAATAGATCCATTGGCTAATAACCTTGCCACATTCCGCGGTTGATCGCAAGAAATCCAACAAAAAAAAAAAAAAAAAAAAAAAAAACAATTGTTACTGATGTTATGATGATTTGATTGTCATTAGATATTTTTTGCCATAAGATGAACAAAAAGCCCTTATCCGAAAGTGAAGGAAAAGGCTAAACAGGGTGAAATAGGTGGTTCTTGATAACTGGCTTTTTGGTGATTAAGAACTTGTAAGCCATCTTGTGTAAAGCAATAAATAACCGTGTATCAAAGTGGGATTGCGAATCTTTCTTTTTGCCTCCGCGTGAATGGCTTAAGTATGTAACATTGCAGTATATTCTCTCAGCAAGTGGTGGAAGATGGAGTTCTTGCTGCATGTTGACAAACCTCGGGGAAATAGAATAACCTAAGAGGAATATTGCCTCGTTTTAAAATTTTTCAATTGTTTGTAAAACCATTCTGGAGAGTTGAGAGTGCAGGACACAGATAATCGACAACTGACCGAATGAATGTAATATATATAGTTCTGGCAACAGGAATTGACACTCCTGCAACATGGTTGGTTAGCCATTTAAGGGGAGACAGACAGCATTGCAGTCTGGCCAGCAGGTCTTGGACGATGGGATGCAGGGGTTGTCTTGCTGGAATTGAAGGTGTAATCCCTATAGGCGCCCCCAGGTAAAGGTACTGTGTGCATAATGCCATGATGTTCCCTATTATGAATTCTGGAAGTGTTCCTGCAAGGCGGAGAGGACTCTACTCTTTTCTGGAGATATAATGAGTCCACACGGGCTAATGGAAGATAATTATGCGCGCAATAATTATGTGTGCATCTATGTGCATGTGCATGTAATGAACTTTTTTAAGATCAATTAAACGCTATATAAGATAACAGTATGCACAGTTAGTAAACTACCTCAAAGAACAAACACAGTGCTTAAAATGAAGAGAATTTCAAGGTTAACACACATTTTCATTACAAAGGTTGCACACTTTGATATTCAATTATGAACACCTGCTCTTGTTTCTTTGTGCGGCGGCGGAGGGGGGGGGGGTGAATGGGCGTGGCCGTCCGATGCTCTGTCTTCGTCTGCTGTATAAATAAGGCCAAACACTATGGGAAACACAACAAGCACCTGCCAGTACTTCGCCAAGTGGTCCCGCGATCTCTTCAGAAGTTCGTCTGTTCATCAGTCTCTCCAGCTGCAATTTGCAATTTGTTATCTTATATAGCGTCGCCATGAAGCCCGCAATTCTTGGTCTCTTGATGGTTCTCTTCGCCGGCGCATACCTGGCACAGGTAACAACTCGAGTTTACTTTTCTTTGCCGCGTCAGCGAATCGCCTGCATAAGCACGATGTGCATTCACATTGTAATGTTGCCTAAATATTACCGAACGGATTGCAGTCACTGCATAATGGACACGGTAAATAAAAGATGTTAAAATGAAGGAAAGCAAACTTTCTCTACCTTCTTTAAGAATAAAATGAATCTTCCCTTTGCAGGACATTAACGACCAAAGCAAAGGCTGCACTGACGAAGAAGGTTGTGTCGAGGGTCCACCAGGTATATTACTGCACTCGTTTTTGCTTTCCTAGTTTGTAATGCATCTTTAGTTTTAGTAGTTTTTCAAATTGCTACTCTTATACCTCTGCACTGCTGTCAGCTGGCTCCATCACTAACCTTTTCAGTTGTGCGCCAGACTCTAATGACATGCTTTTTCATCTTTGCAGGCGCAGGAGAGCCACTGCACCGCGTTGCTAGACAAACCCACGAGTGTTCAAGAACCCCTGAGAACTGTAAACAGCTTAACGGAATTTGCATTCATAATGGTGATACCTGTATCGGTGACAAGCAGAGAAGCCTTTGTGAGGATGAGGACTGCACCTGCTGCAAGAAACACGTGTGCGTCAAAACGCCAAAAAAATGTTTGAAAAATAATGGCGTGTGCATAAACCTCATGGACGAGTGTGCTGGTAGGAAAAACGACACCCTCTGCAACAATGACCACTGCACGTGTTGCCAGAAGCACGTGTGCCAGAATACACCGAAGACGTGTTCTGACAAGAATGGCGTGTGCATAAACATCATGGACGAATGTCCTGGTACAAAGAATGACACTCTTTGCAACAATCGCCACTGCACGTGTTGCATTCCTGCCTAGAAAGGTTTCATCCTTTCGATGCATCTCATTTCTGTGTCTTTGAAGATATGTAAATTTCAAAATCATGAATAAAATTCAGAATACTTCCATAAACTCCCTTTGTACATTCTTTTACCCAAATCTCATGCAATGTGTTCAAAATTAAAGTTTGTAAATATACACACACAAAAAGAATAGTAGTGGTAATGAAATAAAAGATGCCAGCATTTTTCAAGCTATATCTCTCCACAAATGCACACCATTCACCCATTCAAACACATGCACGTATGTATATGTGCATGAAATGTATCTGGGCATCTAGCCCGCATGAGGGCATCTAGGCTGCAACCAGCTTACGGTATCTTCTTGGGAGGTTAGAAAAGCTGGGGAAACTCACCCTACATTTTACTGTTTCTCTGGAAATAATCATGCATACTTAGCAATAAGTGGCAGAGTGAAGCCCTTGGTAAGTAGACGATTTCTACTTACCTCTTCATGACAGAGGAGAACTTTGTCTTGACCTTCTTCAGAATCAAGGAGAAGTCAACTTCGAGGGGTGCGCTTGGATCTTGGTCATTGGCTTGCTTGATACTGATTTTAACCTTGCCATGTGGTATTCTCTAACTGTGACGTTTAGAAACATTCAAGAACGATTTTAAACATTGCCTGCATAGTGTACAAGTAGTTAGCAAAGCGATCATCTTGAGTGCTAATGTCGAAAATTAGAAACCCATTTACATATCTGCTAATAACCTGCATTTGTCTCTGACAGGGGTTCTTCACCCGGGGTCCATGGATCCCTAGGGGTTCCATGGATGGGTTTCAGGGGGTCCGTGAAGATCAGATAAAAAATCACATCTATATTATTGTTTTGTTTTAGATTGTCTATTTTAAAGTTTAACAATACTTGGGTATCTCATACGTGAATGAGACAATCAGATCTCAGTAGATAAAGTACCTTATACGCATTGCATGCAAAATTGCGTGAAAATTTCTAGGAAAGGGGTTCGTGACTGAAAAGTTTAAGAACTACAGGTCTAATAAGTCTCTTTCGGGATAACATAAGATAGCATAAGCATAAGTAGAGCCCCAGTAGTGAGGTCGTGTGATATCATCAATTTGTAAATTAAACTGAACTCTACATGTGTAAAGTGATTCACATAGCCTAGATATCTTCGCTAGTGCTTTATTGCAACTGGAAGTTTACTCTTTTTCACAACTTACCAGTGTCCAGTGGGATCACCATTAAGCACCATGCATGCAAAAGCTCTCCATATATAGGGCTACTAGAGTTACCCTCATTATCTGTGAATTGTAAGTGGCCTCTATGGCGTCCGGATGCTTATCATACAAAATCTATATCACATTCCAAAGAATTGATAAATCAATACTACATTTCTAATAACTGATAGATACAGACGAGGACCACGGATATTTGAATTTCTTTTTGAGTACCCAGCGTTGTCACTTTTTTCTGGCACCGTCTTTAACTTATTTTGTTAAGATAAGCCCTGTATACTATGCCTTCCGAGATTTTCCTCAACGTGAAAACGGAAATATATCCTTTGCATCACGTCTTTTGTTTTTCAGATTAGTCTATCTTGTTCCAGGAATCCATAAATGTCTTTTCTCAGTCACATGCCATGAGAATAGCATAAACGAAAACCGTTGTCTTTACTTTTCGTTCTTTGGCAGTATTTTGATGATTACCAGGTGATTCTCATTTTGATACCTTATGTAGTGATAATTATGGCAACAATAATGACAATAATAGCAATAGTATTAATGATGATTATGGTGATAACAAAAGAATGATAAAAATCATAATGATAATGATAATAACAATGGTAGAAATAATGTTATAATAACATTAAAAAATAATAATAACAATACCAATAACAATACCTACAGGAAACTACTATCGACCTACCAACTACCTATCTCAACTCCAACATAAACAACGGGATAAGGGTTAGTAGTATAAAGGAGGAGCGGACGTCGTTAGCTGGTTTGCGTGTTAGGAACCGTCGGCTGCCGTCGAGGCTAACGAGGCTAAGTAGGGTTTGTTTTTTGTATTATTATTGCAATTACGTTCGAATCATTTTTGATGATGCTTTTAATTTCTGATTTTAAAATTACAGGATGCATTTACAACTCTAGAATTTTCAGTTTCGTTTATATATACGCCTCTGCCCCCGGTATTGCATTTCGCAGTGATTAGCTCGCTATTGGCAGCTCAATATTGATTCTGTGCTACCAGTTAGATGGTTCACTAATGATGATGATAATAAAAATATTATCATTACACAAATACGGAGAAACAAAAACTATATACAACTTGATAAGCCATATACTTGCAGCTTTCACTGAGTTAGGAACGTTAGAAGTAGCGAGCTGGCAATTTGTTACCGAGTTATTTTCCCACTCTTCTCTTTGATAAATTATTTTCTTTTACTGTTGGTTACAACTGGACAAAAGTGACAACAAAAAGAGAGTTTTATTTGATCTTCTAAATGCAGACAAGCCATATCTGATTGCGTCTACATCGCGCTCACATTCCCCGTATTTGTCTTATAGTTCTTTGCGAGCAATGATATCCTTGCTTTCTGCATATAATTTGGAATGTTTTTTTCTTCAGGCTTAACTACGAAATTGCTACAAAAATCACTACGAAAGAAACTTAATCTTAATGATTAAGTCTACAGGTCTACTGAGAGTAAAACTTTTTGTTCTTTCAACACTGCAGAAGATCCTCATTCACGTTGCATATACTCTTTTTCAGTGCTAAAGTTCGCCTTGCGGTTACGTCAAAAAGGCTTGCAATAAAAATTCTATATTCTCGAAAATTGCATTTTTTGTGTTGGAATGTTGCGAAATATGATATTTTACATGATTTTCCATATAATAAATCCATTTCCAATTGATCTTAATGTGTCATATTACTAAGGATAATTAAACTTCATAGTTGTACATTTGAGGGACAGTGCGAAAGTGACAGAATAATTAATTTCAAAATTGAAATTGAAATAAAAGATGTGGATGCGTTTTCATTGCTTGTTTCTTCAATGTTAAAACGATCTGCTTCATTTCATTATAATCCACGATACAACGGGTTTACGACACTTAATAACTACTTAGGCAGGTTATACATGACGGCCATCTGTGAAGGACTCTGTTCGCTAGCAGGCAGAAATAGGATACGCGATGCGATAGAAATCTCGTGTGCGGAGGTCCTGCGCGGAGGAAACAAGGCGAAAATGGTAAGAGAGTTGGGCTAGAAGCATTAGTGGATTAGTGGGGGGGAAGACACGGCGTGGAGTGCTACTGGGAGAGAAGTGGACGGTCTGGTGTAAGTGGAATGAACTCTCCAAGAGACGAAACACTCCATAGGACGAAGTGGAGGCTATAAAAGACGAAAGAGGCTCGAGAAAAAAAAAAAAAAAAAAAAAAAACAAGACTTGAGAAAGAGGAAGGCTAATTGAGTGATGGACCTGGCGATGCATACTGAACGCCGGAGGAGGGCGTAGCATCAGATTACCTGGAGATGGAAGAATTCAGGGGTTTGTTTGTTATGTGTGACTAGGGAAGAGAAGAAAGAAACGAAGGAAAGTGTGGTGGTAGCAAGCTCTAGAGAAAGAGGCGTTAAATGAACACTGAAAGAAAGAAGAGGAAGTTTAAGGATTTTGAGAAAATGAGAAGCGAAAATATATTGGAAATAGTAGAGAGAAGAGTGAAAATGATAGTGAAGGAGGAAAGATGGCGGTATGAGGATGTGACTGGGCTACCAAAGAGGGAGATAATGCAATGAAAAAAAACGATGCTCGGAGAGGGAGTAGCATGAAATTCTAAACGAAAAGGAAAGACATTCTTATAAAAAGGCAAGGAAGAGACACGAGAAAAGTCACCTCAAGTAAATGTGTTGCCAACAGCGGTTATTTGTGTTGACATTGTTATTATCAGCATTATAACAATAATAATAATTATTATCGTCATTATTATCATTATTTTTATCATTATTATTGTTGAAGTGATAATATTGACAATGGTGATTATGGTGATGATGGAGATGACGATGTTGCAACTTAGATGAATTGAGGTACTATATCTCACGCTGTTTTGATCAGGAATAGTTCGATAGAGCAAGCATAGTATCATACAGATGGAGATAACATCATACCAAACCCCATGCTGCTTGCCTTCATACCATTAAGTCTGTGTTATGTGTAGATACGAATGAGTATTCGCAATTAAATAATGTAGAATAGAACGAGAATACATATTTGTTTTTGTTATTCTACAGATTTAGACAGATTTAGTGACGCCATGGGAGAGACATAAATAAGGGTCTTGTTTAACCTGGAGCCGTTCTGATGCAAGAAATTTATCAGTGCAAATGATGCAACAAGACAAGGGTGAAGAGATTGGGCCTTGGTATATGGATAGCATTGAATCTTTTATCAGTTTGTGCTTTATTGAGTCGAAATTGGCCATTTGGAAGATCATTTTCCTCCTCGATGTCGAGGTAAAAACATACGTGGAAGTGTCATGAGCAATGCCATTTCAGTGTAAAATGGAAAAACCCCAATGCAATAGTCCTATGCTTAGAAGGTCCTTAGTGCACTGGTCCTAATAAGCCTTGACGAGGAAGCCGCTGAAGGAGGTGTAGGCCTCGTTGTTCGGGTGCTCGTAGAGGCTTCCCTGCTGCAGCTCGAGGTGGACCAGGTCGCCCTTGTTCAGCAGGAGAAGGGCCGAGTTGGAACCCTGCTGGTAGTTGCCCCTCCCGCCATAAGCTGTCACCTGGTACTGGCCGTTCTTCATCAGGGCCAACCTGGGGAGGAGGAGGCAGTCAGGGACAGCTCTCGTCTCCATTTTAAGCATGCAAAATTCCATACAAAATCATGGTAAATCATACTCGAAACAGTCAGTCGAACAACTCACGTAAAGTCGCCTCCGTCTTGAGCCACGCCGTGGAAGGAGAAGTAGTAGAGGCCCCTGCAGGGAGCCAGGAAGTCGTTCTGCGAGGGCGACCAGCCTCCCTCGGCGGTCAACACGTCCTGCAAAAAGGAACTCTGTATCACCTCGTCCTATCGCTTCTTGAAAGTGCGCGCGGCCATGC